TCATGCGTGTTTCTCACTGTGAGTCAATGCATGTCCGCTACTACACTTGATATGAGAGATAGAAAAATGCTCCCACTGCGGATTGAACCCACACCCTTTCGGTACCAAGCAAGAGGAGACCTCCCAATCCCCCTATGGCAGCTGCTCCTCCCATAGCAGCTCCCTTAGTCGCCTCTCGATGAGCACCAGGCGCTACTGGCTCAGTGCTGGTCATGGTTAAAGATACCTAGGAAGGAAACGCCATCGACTAATATCGTCAAGCCCCGAACGAAACTGACTCAACTGCTAGATGTTCCATATTCATTCTCCAACGAATATACAGGTGGAAATTTCGCGCGCCACAAAATTGCCATGACCCTGTTACTACCGGATGTATATGCTGTTCTAATGGAACGCCTGCTGTATCCACTCCAGAATCGAGGGTATCGCGGAGGTAGTTGGCTCGTGCATCGACTTCCGACTGAAACAACAACAACATGATGCAACAATTTCGTGACGCGCGACAAAATTCCCAAAGCCTTCCTGCTCACCTTATGCTGCCTAATAGCCTCCAAATCCGGATGATGGAGCGGCAACACGGCCAATGCCTCCGAAAGCCTATTACTAGCCTGTACATAATCTGAAACCCATCTATAAACCGTCTGGGTGTTTTTACCCGCGTAAAAACGTCTCATTACATGATATAGCCCTCTGCAACTGATTAGCCCTATCTCTAACCATGGCCTCCTGTTCTGCTGAAGCCGCCTCCATCACGAACTGTGTACCCTGCGAGGATCTATCCTCATAGTCTCTCACCGCCGCTGACGGCTCTGTTGCTGTGGGGTTGCTAGACATTACTGATGAAACTTATATTACTACGAGGCGTCCCCACTTCTTCCGGCGAACTCTAAGATCGCACGAGGGTAAAAATGACATATGCCGGGATCGAACCTGTGCACGCTACAAGACGACACACCGACCTCCATAACACAATTAGAAATCAGTGACAGAGATCTCTTTGGGGGATGACGATATCAGCCACAACAGTAGCAACAGTAGCAACCAATGACTAAAATGGCGTCCCAAGTGGTCGCCGTTGAGAAAATGCAAGATCTTCCAAGATTGCAAGATCCACCAACATACCTCGTAGTCCAGAACTGCCGCATAAATAGATGTGTAAACAATGGTACTACAAGACGATACCCAGAAACAATGCCGGCTGTCCCAGCACACAAAGAAATTGCACGCACGCACAACATAACATCTTCAGTCAGTAGGAGGAACAATCAGCCCACAACCGACCTCGGTTT